CTGTTCCATACTCTCCTAGCACTCCCTTCTTCGCAAGGGCTACATTAATGAGCATTTACTTGGGATTATCAGCTACATGGTCTTGAGCAGTTGTGCATGTTTCCTCTCCTGCAACATGGCTGATGTTTTCTCCTTCTCCTACCTCTTAGTGCCTATGAAAGTGCTTTGTACACCCATTGCCATCCAGTCAATTCCCATGGCAACCGCATGTGTTACAGAGTAGAGCTGCCTCATAGGGTTTTCTTGGCTGTAATCTTTACAGAAGCAGATCGCCAGGCCTTTCTTCTGTGGTGCCACTGGGTAGGTTTGGACTACCAACTTTTAGGTTAGTAGTAGAGTGCAAACCATTTGTGCCACCAGGGACCTATGTTTTGTATGTGCTTAATAAATGTCACTTATTCCCTCTTCAGGGTCCCCTAATTATTGCCCTAGCTCCTCTCCCTGCTCCAGCTGAATTTATACCAAAACTTTCTCAGAGGTGAAGAGAATATCTCCCATTGCCCCACTGTGATGCTGTCCCCCTCCCACAAGCCCCCCCTCCCCCCAGCCCTAAGTCTCCTACTCCCTAGGTCATCATTATTTCAGGTGCCTTCGAGAAGGGGCTTAACTCTAATCCCACTCCCAGCCACTAGCTCGTGTATTGCTGCATCGTCTGCAACACAGTTTCCTCTTAGGTAAAATGAAAGGAAGGAGCCCTCGTGGCACAGTGGTTAAGTGCTCGGCTGCTAACTGAAAAGTCGGTGGTTTGAACCTATCAGCCACTCCGTGGGAAAATGATGTGGCAGTCTTCTTCTATAAAGATTACAGCCTTGGAAACCCTTTGGGACACTTCTACTCTGTCCTATAGGGTCTCTATGAGTCAGAATTGACTTAATGGCAATGGGTTAAAATGAAAGAATTGGAATAGACTCATTCATTGTTTCATTCCTCCATTCATTCAAAAGCTATTTATTGACATTGACTATGTGCCATAAGCCCTATGAATTTAAGGATGAACGAGGCACAGTTCCTGCCTTCAAGGAGTTCAAGTCTTATAAAAAAGGCAGAAGGAGTAGTTAAAATGCAGCCAGAGTGGTACAGGGCAGCGGGGGCTCTGAGAAGGGACTGGCCAGGGCACCTGGAGGAGGGACTGAGAAAAGCTTCATAAGAGAGGCGACCCTTACGCTGCTGCTCTTGAGGATCTGTCCGGGCACAACCACAAGTTTTCCTTCTAGGGAAATGGATCTTGGCTTCAAATTAGGAGGACTCTTCTAACAAAACCGCCAATAAGAGAACAGGAGTCCGTGCAAGGTGGGGAGCCCCCTGTCCTGTAGCAGGGCATCACAGGTGCAAACTCTTGAGGATTCTTTCCAACTCTGGGATCCTAAAAGCCTATGTAAAACGTTTATTTAGCAGGAGGACCAATGTCACTTTTTTTTTTCCACATAAAAACAAATGTGGAGAGTTAATTCAAACTTACCTACACTGAGAGCAGCAGTTCTAGTGTGAAACCTTCACAGAGACTCTGAGGTGAACCGCACGCACACCGACTGCATGAAACATCAGAAGTAACAAGCAAAAGAAGGCACAGTTCATGGCTCAGGTGTCCTAATTACTTTTATTCTTATCTCCAGGCAGTCACAGACCCCGGGAGGTGAGGCCAGGGAAGGGGACAGGTGCGGGATCCTGGGAACCTTGGGAGAGCTGAGGCCAGAACAACAGAAGTTGTGTCTGGGGTGTGGCAGACAAGACCTGTCCCTGGTGTTGTATCTCTGCCCTCAGACTCTCAGGACAGCAGCTCAGGGGAGGAGAGGCTGCAGGGGGGTGGTTTCGAGCAGCCGACAAAGTAAACAGTGTCAGGGGATGCGACAATCGTTGGACCAAAGGGAACAGCCAGAGGCTGATAAGCAGAGAGGTCTGGGGAAGTCAGAGAAGAATCAGGAAAGAGAAAGCTGGCGGCCACATCCTGTTCCCAACCCATGGCCCATCCACCTCTTTGTTTCTCTCCCACAGAAACAGACCCTGCTTTTCCTCAGATAGCCACAGGGGGGCAGCAAAATGCTCGTGCAAAATCTCAACCCACCCTGGCAAGCCGACAGGCACCTGGGACTTGCCCCGGGAGATTCAGGGCGGGAGAGGGGCAGAGCCTTTTGGAACAAGGGTGTCTGTTCTTAACTCCTATGAGTGAAAGAGTAGGGGACAGAAGAACCAAGATTCTTGGGGTTTCCCCAGATGATACAGAAGGAGCCATACATGTGCGTAGGAATTAGTGGGGGGAGGTTCAGGGACTCCACGTGCCTCCTCAGCCCCCAATCTACAGCCTTGTAGGAGAGGAACTGGTCTGTCTCCCCCTCAACTGGAGACCACCAGCCTCACATCACAGACGGTCAAATTCCTGGCTGCCCCCGGCTTTATAAAATCCAACCTACTTTCCCAGGCCCAGTCCACCCCTGCCAAAAATGTGAGAGGCCAACAAACTCTCCTCCTCCCCCGGTGCCTGTGGCACCTGCCCAGCTTAGGTTTCTGGTAATCCTGCATTGCTGTTCCTCCACCCTTCCTCCTTCCAAGACCCATCCAGGTGTTTCTGCAGCTCCTCACTACCTGGATCTGAGGTGGGACGCAGGAGCCTTGGCTCTGCTTCCAGTTCAGTGGTGCCCCGACCCCTTTCTGAACCCAGCGTATCTTCAGCAGACTCTGCTGGCCTTCCCATCGCTGCAAAGGAGCCCTCTTTGAGATGGCTGCGATCGGAGCCCTGGTCTAGTTGTTTATTGCTGAGGGCTTGCCCCCTGTCCCAGGCTTAGCCTTGGATAAGTTTCTCAATCCTCAGTTTCTGTATAAATTATCCCAGGAAGAGGCGGACTTGGAGAAGTGGATTGTGGGACACATGACCAGGGCCCAGGCTGGGAGTAGCAGGGCAGGGAGAGGTAACCCCTTTAGAACTGGGGATAGAGATTAGGGGGAACAAAGGAGGCCTCAGAGAAGAGGTGGAAACTGGGCAAGGAAGTCGGTGGAAACAATGTCCTAGGCACCTCCCCCCCTCCGCCTTCCACCCTGGCCATTGTCTTCTACCTTGCTGATAGGAAAACAGAATCACAAATAGTGAGAAACACTTGCCTAATACCACGCAAGAATGGGAATCAGAAACCAGAAATCCTGCCTCCTGGAGCCCTGGAGATGCAGTGGTTAAGAGCTGGGCTGCTAACCAAAAGGTCAGCAGTTTGAATCCACCAGGTGCTCCTTGGAAACCCTATGGGGCAGTTCTACTCTGTCCTATGGGGTTGCTATGAGTCAGAATCGACTCGATGGCAATGAGTTTGGTTTTTGTTGTTTTGGACACAGGCTTGTTGTTACTATGAGCCGTCGAGTCAGGTCGATTCCAACTGGTTGCCAAGTGGGCAGCCCACCATGCTCACCTTTGCCTTGATCTCACAACTCCCTCCCCTACCACCCAATCTAGGTTCCTTTTCTTCTCAAATACCCAAGATGGAACAAAACTTCAAGTGCTTCAGCAATTATTTCTTGAAAGCCAGAAATACGATGGGTGGGGAGGGGTGGGGCAGGGAACAGACAGATAACATACCTAGTGAGTCTCCCCAGGGGCAAACAGCCCCCAGCATAGGAAGGAGAGAGGAGAGTCCTGAGGGAGAGGCTGAGGGAGGGTCCTGGTATCCACTTGTAGCTTCCCTGTCTCCACCCAGTAACTTTCCACTGGCTCAGAGCTGTCTGCACGTGCTGGTTGCACGCTCCTCCCAGGCATGGCCTCCTGGTCCCCTCCCCACTGGTGCCCGTGGAGGGTTGGGTGGCTGACGCACACCCTATTTGAGATCCCAGCCGCCTGGAGGCTGATAAGGAGCCCCAGCCTCATCACATGCGACCAGCTGGAGGGATTGGCCCTGGCTGTTAAACATCAGCTGGTCAGCTTCCAAACTGGGAGATGACGAGATAAGGAGGCAAGGGAGTTATGGACTCTGGGTTGAGTGACCAGGAAAGCTTGGGGCAGGGATGTGGACACTGCCAACTGAGGCCTCAGGAGGCCTGGTAGGGGATAAGCCAGCAAATGGCAGCAGGTGGGGGAGGATTCAGGAAATAAGATGTGCAGAAAGGGTCCAGTACAGCTTTGGGGAGGGCTGTGAGCAAGGCAGGATGTCCTCTAGATGGGGTGGCCCTGCAGCTAGCATGGCTCCACCCCCAGGAATATCCAGCCCTCTAGGGACCAAGCATACCTCACTCAGCCTCCGACCTGTGAGAGCAGCCTGGGGGGTCCAGAGAAGAGGGTGAAAGGATGCAGGTCTCAGTCCCGCAACCCCAAGGCCTACCAGGTGGTCGCAGGCCAGGTGGACTGGCTACATTGCAGAGCCCAGGCCTGCTGGCTGGCTGCCCTGCCCACACCTCCCTCAGTGCCCCAGGCAAGCCCCCATGTAGAACAGTCTACTGCCCCCACCTCCTGTCTGAACAGTGCTATGTCTGACAAGGAGGGTAAGCGAAGGCAAGCAGCAGGTGACACTGACTTCCTGCCCCTCTCCTGTCAGAGCTGAGAGAGGGTGGGCAGCCTGGGGCAGCCATTCTGTCCACCCACATGCCCGCACATCCTCCCCCTACAGAACACCCTCCCCTCCTCTCCCAGCCATTCCCCTCTTCCTTACAAAGTGTCAACGCCTGACCTAGCAGGGAAAGAGGGAGTAGGTGGATTGGACATAGGACAGCTTGCTCCAAGGTCACACAGTTGCAGCAGCCTTAGCAGGAATCTTGGTAGGGGTGGAGGTCTCAGCCAGGCTCCTGGGGTCTCTTTCCTACATCTGCAATTTTGCTGGGCTCCTCCCACTCACCCTCAGGTCCTCAAACCCAGAGGAGCAGATGGCAAGGGAGTCACCAGTCTTGACAGTTCCAGATTGGGAGATGTAATTGGGAGGGGGGGAGCTGATGTGACCTGGGCCCCTCAGGGCCCCGATGGCATATGTACAAGCTGCAGGGTGAGGGTGAGGGCTGGGCTGCGGGGAGTGAGCGCTGGCTGCGGGCTGGGCTGGCAGCTAGTTTTGTATCTGGGTTTGCAGGAGCACAAGGAGGGTCAGAGGACCAGGAAGGGGAGCATTCTCTGGAGGAAAGTGGGGGCAGGGAGGGCTCCTCAATCCCGGTTGGTGCCAAAAATTTGCAGGAAGAAGGTGAAGATATAGATGATGTCTAAGTAAATGTTGAGGGCTCCAAAAATATGCTCCTCGGGGCTCAGCGAGTGGCGGCGGTTGCCCATCAGCAACTGGGTGTCAAATGCCAGGAACTGGGGAAGGGGGAGAGAAAAAGAAGTCAGAAGTCCTGGTCACTGTGACACTGGCAAAGAAGGCCCAGCTTCCCCACCCACGCCACCCCCAATTTTGTTACCACCTGCTGCCTGGCTGTTCAGTGACCCTCCTGTGACAGCTAGAACCTGGAACTGTCCCGACACCTCCCCTCCCTAATTCAATTTGACCCCTATTTACTGAGCACCTACTATGTGCCAGGCAGGAAGATACAGTAGTAAGCAAGACAGACAAGATTCCTGCCTTCACAGAGCTTACAGTCTAGTGTGGAAGCAATTGTAAGCGTGAGGAGTGACACCAAGTACCACAGGAACTGATAACAAGGGATCTGACCCAAGCGAGTTAGGGAAGGCTTCCTGGAGGAGGGGACCTTCTTGTCATTCCCTCAGGTCTCTGCTCTTTGAGGATAAATGAGTGCTTCGGGCAATGCGGAGTATGGGCTGAGTGTGATCTGCCACTCGTCCAGGAGCTTTGCCTGCATTAGTCCATTTAGTCCTAATAATATCCCTATCAAGTACGGGTTCTATTATCCCTACAGGAAATGGAGGCCCAGAGATGTTAAGTAACTTGCCCAAGGTTACACAGCTAGGAGTGGCAAAGGCAGGATATGAACCCGAGAAGGCTGGCTCCAGAGCTCCCATGCTTAACCATTTTGCTCTGCTGCTTATGGGCGGCACACAGGGTTAATGGGTTCCCTTCCAGGACACAGCTTCTCCCCTAGGGCGCCTTCTTGGTCTAATGGTCTATGAACAGTTATTCCCTTTAAGACAGCTCCTCTTTGCCACCCCGCTGCCCCCTACCAGTCCTTGCCACTGTCTGCACTGATTCCTACCACCCCCCGACCAAAGCTTTCCTCTGGGGTCCAAGCCTGGGGAACAGAGACACCTTGACGAAGCATGTGAAAGTGGCAGGCATGGTGAACTTTTCTGGGGAGAAAAGCCAAAAGTTCACCAGTGTCTCAAAGGTTATGAACCACTGGTCCACACAGGGTTGGAATTCTTTAAATCAATCCACATTCTTGTTTACCGGGCTGTGCCCAGCTCTTCCGTCACTTGTGTGTGGAAGACCTGTGCTCCTTGGGTCCTCTGAAACGTGTTCTTTATGCAATAAATATATAGAGAACAACAGCTATGTGCCAGGTACTTGCTGAGAGCCGAGGAGACAACGAGGACCACAAAACAGAGCTTGTTGTTGTGTTGTTAGGTGCCATCGAGTCGCTTCCGACTTACAGTGACCCTATGTACAACAGAACAAAACACTGCCTGGTTCTGCACCATCCTCACAATCGTTGCTATGTTTGAACCCATTGTTGCAGCCTCTGTGTCAAGCCATCCCACTGAGGGTCTTGCTCTTTTTTGCTGACCCTCTGCTTTACCAAGCACAATGTCCACTAAAACCTGCTGCCGTGGAGTCAATTCCTACTCCTAGCAACCCTACAGGACAGAGTAGAACTGCCCCATAGGGTTTCCAAGACTGTGATCTTTGCAGAAGTAGACTGCCACATGTTTCTCCTGTGGAGCGGCTGGTGGGTTGACCTTACAGTTAGCAGCCGAGTGCTTAACCACTGCACCACCAGAGTATGGGATACTTCCAGATAATTAGAGTAAAACTGGGTAAATGCTTTAATAGTGCTATAAGGGCTGTGGAGAAGGGAGCTACTGACTGTGTAGGAGGAAGGTGTCCCAGGAGAGGTGGTATTTTACCTGGTGCTTGAAGGATGAGTAGGAGTCTGATAGACTGAGAAGGCCTAGTAAAGACTGGAGGCCTGAAGGGTATGAGGTAAAGATCCAACGAGCTCAACGTGGCAGGACCAGAAATGGGGAAGGAGATGGAGAGAAAGGGAGAGGGAGGCTGGAGCCTAAACTTGAAGCTTGCACTTCATTCCCACTGCAAGCTAGAGGCATGCCCAGCTCCATTTTCTTCACCCCAGTCACCAACTCCTTGACTCCTGGGGTCCAGACTCCTTGGAGTTGCTTTGGATGCAACCCCATGGAAACCCGGGAGAATCCCTGCCTCAGTGCCAATGCCCCCACGCAAAGGGGGCCAGAGACTCCAGCACGTGGGACATCAGGACACGTCACCTCCTAAGGTATGGTGCAGGTCCAAAAAACCCGTTGCCATCGAGTCGATTCTGACTCATAGCGACCCTAATAAGACAGAGCAGAACTGCCCCATAGAGTTTCCAAGAAGCGCCTGATGAATTCAAACTGCCGACCTTTTGGTTAGCAGCCATAACTCTTAGCCACTCTTCACCAGGGTTTCCATGGTGGGGATAGGGGGAAGATTATGAGTATGGACTTGAAATTGAATTGGATTCTGGTCTCAGCTCCTCTGCTCACTAGCGAATGACCCCAGGCAAGGAACTTAACTTTTCTGAGCCTGTGAGTCCATATCTGTAAATGGAAGATAACACTGTCTGACTCACGAGGTTGTTCTGAGAGTGAGATACTGTGTACAAACAGCCTGGCACAGTGCCTGACACATGGCAAGCCTTTAATGAATGGTGGCTATTAATGTGGTTTTATTGTTATCATCTGCAGAAGAGAGGTGCCCTCTGGGGAACTGCTGATGGGACTCAGGCGTCTCCTGCTTCTCACCAGGGAGGCAGAGGTGTTACTAGGGGAAGCTGTGTGGCCCTATAGGGAAGATCTGGGTCTAAGGGAAACCAGAAAATGGAGTTACAGTCAGGGCTGGGGGCTGTGTATGGGGTGTGTCAGGCTCTCTGAGCTCAGCTGCGTTGAGGGGAGGGCATACGAGAACATGGGACTCGAGTCGCAAAGCCTGGGTTTGAGTCTTGGCTCTATCCCTCAGTAGCTGAGCCACCCACTAGACCTCAGTGTCCTCATCTACAAAATGGGATGGTGATAATGCCCACCCACACCCATGGTGTGGTTTTGAAGGTTAACTCTGACAGTGTACATGGCATCAATCATTTTTATTCTTTCGTAGTGTTTTGCTCCATTCTACTCTGCCCCTTCTGAGTTGGATTTAGTTTCCCAAGTAAATTTTCCTTCTGTAGCAAGAAGGAGCAAGCAGAGGGGCCAGCTCGATACAGGCTGCTTAGCGGTCACAGCTGCCACTGTAAGTTAATAAATTGCCGATCTGGCTTATCAATCAGTACCTTGCTTGGTTGATTTCTTGGAGTCTCGTCACCCCTGGGTGAGCTAATGAAATTGAATCTCTCAACCTAAAAGGCTTGAGCCTTACCAGGCCTGGAGGTGGCCCCTCCAAGAAGCGCCAGCCCAGGAGGCTCCTAGAACAGCCAGCTGGTTTTTCTCTTGGAGAGAAAAGAAATGAACTGATTTCTGCTCTTGCCCTTGGCCTGCAGCCACAGATGCTTATCTACATGGTACTATCTGGGATGGCCTGCCCCAAATTTCAACTCCACTGCCTGGCACCACGCATCACTGCGACCTCATGCCCGTGAGTCAACTGAAGGCTTTCCATTCATTTATTCCCAACAACATTTGTTGAGCACCTACTATGTTCCAGGGAATTTGCCCTCATGGAACTGACAGCTGAATGAAGGCAAAAGGCATTATTATGAGAATGCATTTGAGGGGAAAGTAATCTGCTAATAATCTCCTTGGGTGATGGTAAGCATTTTTAATTCACATCTTGGTTGAGAGCAGACATCTTGGTTATAGTTAACATCTTAGCAGTCAGTTAAGATCTTAGTTGATGCCTCCTTTGCCATGAGACCAGAAGGACTGGATGGTGCCCGGCTACCATTACTGAACATTTTGATCAAATAGTCTGTAGAAGAATCCTGACCAAAAAGGGGAAAATGCAGAACTGAATTTCAAATTCTCATGGAAGCCAGATATTTTGGAGTCATAGAGGCTGGATGAACTCCCAAAATTATTGCCATGAGATAATCTTTAAACCTTAAATCAAAAATATCCCCTGAAGTCTTCTTAAAACCAAACAGTAGTTTAGCTTAACTAGTAAAGAAGCTCTGCCTTGAGAATGTTGCTCTTTTAAGAACTATCTATATAGGATCAAACTGACAACAGCAACTTGAAAGATTAGATGGGAACCTTAGGGGGCAGTGAGTTTATGTTAATGGAGGAGGAACAACTCAGAAAATGAGGGTGAGAATGGTTGTACAACTCAAAGAATGTAATCAATGTCACTGCATTGTACATGTAGAAACTGTTGAACTGATGTATGTTTTGCTGTGTATATTCTCAACAACAAAAATAAATTATTAAAAAAAAAAAAAGATCTTAGTTGAGAGCTAATGACTGAGCTGACTGCTAACACCTTAAAGGGACAATAGGTACTTTAGTTAGTAGCCAGCTGAATACAGGACCTGGCAGGAGGAGCACATGGGATTGGAGCAAGAGGTAGGAGCAGGACCAGAATACAAATAACTTAATAGTTCTTTCCTACACAGATGCCCGGGTGGTGCAAACGGTTTGTGCTCAGCTGCTATGTAAAAGGTTGTCAGTTCAAACCCGCCCAGCAGTGCTGACAAAGAAAGGCTTGATGATCTGCTTCTGTAAAGATTATAGCCAGGAAAATCAGATGGAGCAGTTCTACACTGTAACACATGGGGTTGTTATGAGTCAGAATCGATTTGACAGCAACAGGTTTGGGTTTTTTTTTTTTTTTTGGTTTTCACATGCTAATATTTTCTTATCTCATTGTCTCAATTTGCCCCAGGAGAAGGGTATTATTATCACTACTTTGCAGTGAGGAAAGATTTCTCAGAGCAGGTCATGGCTTGCTGATGGCCGTTTGTCTAGTGCTGCAACCAGATCCCTGGTCTCCTATCTTGGTAGAGACAGGGGTGAGTGGGGTGGGGTTGGGGGGAGGAGGAGCATGCACAGAGGGCAGAGGAGCCAAAGGCAAACCTTCCTGGTCCACCTGGCTGGTCAGGGCTGGACCTGACCAGGACCCCCTGTCCACACATTGGCTGGGCCCTGCTGAGTCCAGTCTGCTGTCCTCCCTGAATTGGTCCCAGAGGGCAAGACTG